ACCCAGGAGCTGCCTCCCCCAGGGTGAATCCCTGAGCGACCTTCAGGCCTGCTGAACGGAGTAATCTTTATCTCTCCAGCAACAAAGATGGAACTGGTGAGCTGCCGTGCCATTTTCGCTTAAGCACTGTAAATAGTTTAGTGTTAGCTTTACCTTATAAGGACTTTTACAGTTTAGTTTAGTTTGTTAGGTACACTATCCTACGCCGCCTACCCTGTCTGGGACTTACTGGTGGTCAGCCGCACCAAGCCCTCGGGCTTGAAAGCAAGGGATCACCGCGAACCCCGTGACCCAGCGGTCCTGTCTTTATATAAGTTGTCTACCCGGCCTGGGACTTACCTGTGGTCAGCCGCACCAAGCCCTCGGGCTTGAAAGCAAGGGATCACCGCGAACCCCGTGACCCAACGACCCCTTTGTATTCTACACCTATCCACACAAATAAAATTTTCCATCATGTTGTTATCCTGTCTCCGTGTCCTGCGTGCTTCCCTTCCCCATTGGCATTTGCGAACTATAAAAATCTAATAATAATCACTGGTATTTATAGGCGAATGTGTAGTATAGCTGTGCACTAACAGCATTTGCAAAATAGGGCTTGCTTCTGAAGGAGTTATTCATAATTATTTGCCAATGTAGATTTGGAATAAAGGTGCTCACATAGTGGGTTAATCAGGAAGAATATTCTGATTTAAATGAATAATTTATAATAATCCACATTAGCTTCCTTATATAAACAAGCCCCTAGTTTCTTCTATCACCCTTGAATTTCTCCTTCTTCTCTTTCCTTTTTAATTAAATGATAGAAATATTTAATAACACCCCCAACACCTTTAAGTCAACAGACTCGATCAGAATAAAGGGCAATTTCTATTTTAATACACATTCCTCAGTTCTGGGGGGTTTGATCAAGTTAAATGGAATGTTAAATTAACTGGCAATTGAATTAAGTGGCAGGCATTGTAATAAGCTATTCTGAGATCATTTACAGTCAAGCAGCAACCATATGGCATTTGCATGCAGAGCCGGTAACTCTTGTCCCAATTTGACACAGAAATCGGACTGACCCATGTGACCTGTATTAACCTGGGAAATTCTATATTCATGCCAATGACCGCCTTTGCCAGATGCTGAAGACAAACCTACTATAATCCTGTAATCTCATTTCATAATATAGACTTTTGTATAGTTCTGAGCACAGGTAAAAAAAGCATCTTGTTTAGTTAAAATATTTAGCTTGGTCTTCTCCTGGTGGCTTCAATCCATTTCAACTCCAGTGGACAGGAATTTGGTGGCTTGTTTGGACCAAATTTCATAATGCTGATTTGAGCAACACTTCAGATAGCAGCACAGTGCAATACCTTTCCTCACCTCCGTGAACCATTTCCCAAGGAACAAAAAGCAGAGACCTTTCATGTTGACACTTTAACCAGGGAGATATTATAGAAACCTTCTTGTACTGCTGTATTTTTAATATTCTCCTTTTATCCACATAGTCTTCCTTGGGGTTTAAGTGAGAGAGCTGCTGTATGCAACTGCAGGAGATGGTTTAGGCTTTGGCTCACTGATCTTGTTTTGGAACACCTTGGAGTGTGTGTGGATTTCAAGGAAGCACTTGAGGACAGCAGGACATACTCATGTTTTTTTTCCGCCCTCCTACTCCTTTGACAAATACCCAAATCTACCAGACTCTGTGGATTTTGCTTCTCATCTGCAAATACTTTTAGAAGGCAAAGCACAACATTTACTAAACCCTCACGATTGGGGTTGAGTTTTTTTGCTCATTTAAATGATCCTTCAAAAATATACAAAGAAAAGAAAACATTCAGTAAATCATCCACATTAATCACTGTTGATAGTTCAGGAAAGGACTCAGACTAGCAGAGGGCTGAATGTTTTATAAAGAATTCTTTATTTATAAAAATAAGCAAAGGAGACAGGGAGATGAAACCTGTAACTGGCAATTGTTTTGAAAAGACAATTTCCTGGGGCATTCGGAGCAAATAAAAATCTGCCATTCAGTTATTTTGAAGCCATTTATAATCTTTTTATTTTTCCTTTATTTCACTTAGGCACCACTAAGGATCATGGTTTCTGGATCTAATATTGTGTATTTCTATATCACCTTTCAATCCAAGGGATCTCAAAGCACATTACAATCTATAGTGCATATACAGAATTTATTTTGCTCACTACTGAAATCTGTCTTCACTTCTCAGCAAAGTGCACCAGCTATTAGCTGTACATGACAATAAAGTATTACATTTTAAGGGCTTGTTGTAATCTCAGTTGAATGTCATGTGGAGATCTCAATGATCAGACCCCTTGGCAGGAAGTGAAAAATATTCTGTACAGCTGACCATAAGGATATGACAGTGAAAGGAACCTGCTAGCTAAGGCAACCATGTAATCTTGTTGGGGGTTAGATGTGTTAAAGAGAACATTCAAAGAACCAAAAGATTGTTGCATGCAAGATATCTTCATTTCAAACTGGTTTTATATGAGGGGCCTCTTCCACCATAGCTTACAGGCTATTCCTCACATTTCTTGCAACAAAGTACATTAAAACTACTTTTGAATTCTTCTTATTTCCTTCCTTCTAGAAAGAAGACCTGATCCGTGCTTTTCTCTATTCTGGCTATATCCAAATATTTTAGCTGTAAATCTGTCCAATGAGAGAGGATCCTTCATTCTTTCTGCTTCTTTTAGCCTACCCAAGGTAATCTTCTGTACCAGAAAAGTAACACTTGGATAAGATGGTACATGAAATCCTTTCACTGTCTGAGAAACTGAAAAGGGTAGAGATGAGGGACTTCCAGTTCTGTGCATAGAGATCATCTTTGTTTTTCAAAATCTTGCATTGTTTTATAAATATCAAAGAATTAAACATAAGAAACATACAAAAGAAGTTTGATTTCTCTCGTAGGACACTCTAGGTTTAGCCCTTGGTCAGAGGCAGTGATTCCGTACAAGACAAAAGAACATTGATGAATGCTGCTTAATGGCTAAGAACCCTTGCTGTACCTTGCTGAGAAAGAATTCATGGAAGATGTGACAAAGAGGGATGGTCTCTTGGAGAAGTGCTTGTTAAAAACTTGTAAATAGCTTGGAAATGTATGATGCCTTGTGGTGAGGAATTAGAGCCCCCTGGGTCCCAGTTCAGGGAAGCTACAACAGTGAAAGGTCCTCAGTTCTAGAATATTTTGAAGTGGAGAGAGGTGACCATTTTACAGGGATGGACCTCTACTAATGAGGTGAAATCCTGATCCCACTGATGTCAATGGGAGTTTTGTCCATAAGACTAATTTAGTGTATTTTCTCTGCCATGCATATTCACAATGTTTTGGACACTCCTAAATCAAAGGCTTAATATAAATCTGGAATTGCATGGGGTGATGGGCAAGGTGTGGAGCAGAATTTGCAGATTTGTTGGAATCTGAGGGCCATACCGTAAGCACATTTGCTATAGCCGCAAACTTGGAACCCCTGGTTTGTCAACCATGCACTTTAGCGCCCATGCCATCCCATCCCATCCCCCAGCTTAGGGCTGAAAATGAATGGGAGTGTTGCAGATTGCTGTGGTGTATTGTGTTTGAGTTTAGGATGAATACACAGGCTAAGCACAGTTTCTGGTGTAATTTTTTTATCAATTATGTAATAGTAGGTTGTCCCATCTGTTTGGTAATTTGCCTGTTGGATCATCCTGCTTGCTCTTATCATAGGCTTCCTTTGCTAAGCTTATTCTTGGCTTATGGTCAGAATAGGGGTTATGGACGTTTTGCCCGAGGGAAACCTGCCGTAGCCTTCTTCTGATCTTCCTTATAATTTTCTTCAGTGCCTTCTTCCTACATGACTGGTGGACAGCAACATGTTTAACAGATGGTTTTCACATGCTATTGCATAATTATTTTTCAAGTGGCTTCTAGAAGCAGATGTTCACATGTCTTTGTTCTTTCCCCTCCTGACACTTTAACACAAACAGCAGATTCCATTGCTGCTGTCCTTTAGATCTAGCAAAGAAAATGAGGCAATGATGTTGGGTTTCTTTTTCAGGCTATTTGGCAATAATACTTGTGTACAGGCACCATCCTCCTTCCCTTCCCTTTCATCACCACCTCAGTGTACAGATGTTATCTTTGGGTCTTTCTGCTTAAGATGCATTGTCTTCCCTTGTGACCCTTAACCCCAATTAATATTTGACCTTTGATTTCCTCTATGCCTCTGTTTCTAATAATAGTCTGAGTAACAGTTAGTCTTTGCTCCCTGGCAACCCCGATGTTTATTACAATATTCTTATAGCAACAAGGCTCTAGACTTAGATTAGATTTAGCAGATTTAGAGTAAATCTTTGGGGAAAAAAACTTCCTAATCGTTAGAGTGGCAGGACAATGGAACAAGTCGGCAAGGGAAGTTGTGGGTGTGGAAGCCCTGGGAGATGCTGCTGGTAATGCCCAGCCTGCCCCACTGTAGTTATGCTACTGTATGGACTAGATGACTTGTGAGATTTCTTCCTACCACATGATTCCTACAGGCCACAGGAGCAGAGCTTCCTAATTTGACTTTGTACTTGTTCTTCAAAGAGCTAATAAAGGTGACCAAGTGGAATAAAAGCCAAGCCTAAGTGATTTTCTCCCATTCATAACTTATCTTATAAAGGATGAATATCAGCAGCTATTCTCTGATGATGATATGAAATGTTTGGATCAAGTAAAGAAATACCTTCTGTGTGGGTTAAATGAAACTGTATTGCTTTTACCTCCTGTGTATGCAATCTAATCTGATAATACAACAATATATTTGCGTCCTGTCTTACATTTAATTTGGATTACTTATTGCCTAGTACAGGGTGTGGAAGAAAGGGTTCTGTGTGGGTCCTCTTCATATTTCTATTGAATTTTAAGGGACTGGAGGGCACCCTTGAAATGTGTTTGTATGTGCTGAATGCTGTGCCACCTTCTCCTTGACCATATCATCTGTTGTTTATTTACTTGCCTGGTTTTCAGTTATTTCCAGCTGGTCATGGAAAAAGTTTCTCAGCAAAGACAGTGAAAATGGACCCTTTTAAGAGCTCTAGAACTAGATGTCAACAGAATGCTAGAAGATGGGACATGAGGAATAATCCTGTATTGACAGAGAACATGATTGACAGATAGTTCTTTTCCATCTCTACTATCCATGGCAATGCAATCATCAGTCATTTTCACAACTTTGTGCTGGGTGTTGCTTTCAGTCATATATTGAAATCCAGGGTTGCTTCTGTTCATGGCAGAGAACACCAAGGTGGTAACTGAAAGTAGAAACAGCTCCTGTGAATAGTGGGATGTTATGGCTGCCAGTAAACTCTAAGCCTTTGAATTCTTTTTTGCTCTTTTTCCTTCTATCAGTTGCTGGTGAGCATTTTGTCATTTTACTTCTCTTGCAAAGCACAAAAATGGCTTTTCCTTCAAGAAAAATAGATGTTTATTAGCTTTTATATGACACACAGTGCATTGGTGAAAAGTTAATTTGTATTTTACTTTTTAGTTTGTGTTCTTCCTTCAATATTTTTTCTGTATTGGTTGGTTTCCCTGTTGTGTGTATAAACACTGAGATCACTTGAGTACTAAACAGCGCACAGCCAAGCAATAAAGTTGCTTTTCAATTTGGACTTTCTGTTTCATCATTGTTTACTATATTATCCATCCATCCATCCATGTACTCATCACGCCGTTTCATGTATTTTTTCTGATCTGCTTTGTCAGGCTCTTAATTGTTATTTTTCTAGCTAAAATTCCCCAAACACAAATAGCATTTTTCTCCACAAACAACAACGGGGACTTAGTCTGACAAAAAGATTTAGGTGGCCAGTGTGTTAAGCCTACAGGGATCAGTCTGGAGGGTCATAGCCAATGAGAAGACAGAGCTTGCTAATTTTGCTCTATTGATGAATTACTCAAAATGTTGTAATCATAATGACAAAAAAAAAAGTTAGTGGCTGCTGTACCACAGTACTTCCTTCTTTTCCAAAACAGCATCCAACTCTTTTTTGAATTAATGTACACAACTCACTTTTACTGCTGGCAGCATACTTTTTGGCAGTTGGTTTGATATTCCAACCAAACTTTGTATAAAGAAACTGTCTGAATTGTTTATAGGTTTGTCCTGTTGCCCAGAGTTTAGTCCATGATCTCTTATTTTCAAAATGAGTGTAGTTAAAGGGACAGTCATATAATTTAGGCCCCAAATTCAGAGGGTTTTTGGACTGAGGTGTGGTATTTATGAAAGCATGTACGCAAGCTGAAGTGAACAGAGATGTTTATGAACAGTTTAAAAATGTCAAAGAAAGCAATTGGCATTTCCATTTAAACATCACTCTTCTCTGTCCGTCTTGTGCCGTGTATGTATGTTTAAGTCCCCTAGTCTTCTTTAAAATGTTCATCCTATAAACAGAGAGAGGTAGTTAGCCATGTTTGTCTGAAACCAGGCAGAAGGCAGGCACTAGGGGTGTGTGAAGTGGGCAGTATTTGATTCAGATTCAGCCGAATTCAGGAAACAGTGATTTGATTAGCTGATTTGGATCACCGTCCCGATTGGATTTGGCCGAATCTGAAGATTTGATTCTTATTCAAAGAGTCAGCTGTTCCTCCATAGACACAGCTTTATATGTTTTTTCTTCGTACCTTGAGGCACCTGGCATGGCTTGTGAACGCTGAGATGGTGGGGCAGATGGAGCATCCCTCAGGAGCACGGGGAGGACCCCGTGCACTCGGAGATCAGCTGTGGAGGGACCCTGGGTATCCCCCCAGACCTGGGAGGCACCAATCACCGAGCCGGGGGGGGGTCCCCCGCCCAGAAGTGGACTGGAAGTACTTCTGGGTCCCCTCCGCACTCCCGTGGGAGGCTCCATGCAACCGACCATCTCAGCATTCACAAGCCGCACCTGGTACCTCAAAGTATATAGAAAAATCATATCAAGCTGTGTCTATGGCCAAATCATCGAATGTCTCCAAATTGAATTGGAGGCTTCTGATTCGATTCGGAGAGATTAATGGGTCTCCTGATTTGATTTGGACTCAGAGATTAGGCTGCCGAATCGGGCCGAATCTCCCCTGAATTGAATCAGCAACTGAAGCTTTGCATGGCCCTAGCAGGCACCTTAGAAACCTGGCACATTAAAAACTAACTAGTTCAGGGAAGCATCGAAGCGCAAATCTGGGGGGGGGTATGATTGCAGCCCCTCTGACTTTGTATTGCATGTGCAGTGAGCTCTCCCCCTCCAAGAAATCTCGTCTCAGCCTTTGGTCTTAGCTGCCAGTCGCATCCCTTGTGCCAGTGAGATCTCTGCAGCACCCTTCTTCAAAATCCAAGATCTGCTCCTGGTGATAGCCTGTTTCATCAGATACTAGTAATTCTGAAAGAGTTATGAATGAATTATGAATTCATAGCATCTGATGAAGTAGGCTGTCACCATAGAAAAACTTATGCCTCTCTGAACCAGTTATATTCTAAGGTGCTACCCTGCCCTCCCTTCAACCGATAAAACATGAAAGTGAAGCTGAACAGGCAACTTTCTCTCTCTAAGCGGATTGATATGACAAGATAAACTAACTGTAGAGAGGGTACAATCATTGTGACTCATGATCTTCAAAATTGTTTCCACAGAAATTCTTTCGTTTCCCCCCCCATTATTATTAAATGAAAAACTGTGTGTATATGTATCAGATATCGCCTGATATAGAGGCTATCTGATATATCCTAGCTCAAGCTGGCAACAATATTTCTGCATGAACAGCACACATTTGGGCTTCACATTATTTTAGCCTGCTGCATAGAGGACAGTGTTTTGAAAGAACATCTGTAGTAGGACTTGATGTGACTCCCATGGGAATGAATGAAAGCTTTTCCATTGATTTGAGAATGGGAGCATGATTATGTCATAATGCAACAAAGTATTTTAGCAAACCCATACATTTTCCAGTGGAAATTTCCATGGCAGGTACTGGTGCTCAAGACATCAGCATTAATTACATATTACGAAATAAGGGATGCAGACCATACCTACAGAGCAGGGCATGTTCCCGTTACATGTAAAGCAGTGGCTCTGAGAAGGATTTAGCTGTCATAATGGAGACCCAACTGAACACTATATTTTCAGTTTGAAAAACAGGTAATGCAATCTCTGGATATATAATCAGGGAGCTACTAAATAGAAATAGGGAGGTGACTTTATCTCTGTGTGAAATTGGTGAGACTGATACTGGAATATTGTTCCAGCCTTGATCTCTTTATTTGAAAAAGGATGTTGAAAAAATGCAGAGGAGCCACAAAAGTGATACAGAGGGTGGACTGCCAATTAAGGAACTCAGTTTATTTAGCTTATCACTGAGAAGACCAAGACGTGATCTGACTACACTATATTAGATGGAGAAGTCCCTTCAAAGGGAGACAATACTGGGTAGTGACACTGTCTTTAGTAAAAATACAGCAGGAGCCAATGCTGGAAATTGAAGTTTTAGAAATTTCACTTAAAAATTAGGCACAATTTTTTCCACTGAGGTTAGTTAACAAACAAATGACTGGGGAAAGAAATAGATCCTTCATGGATTGATGTCTCAAAATTGGGGTTGAAACCCATTCTGGAAGACAGGATTTAGTCAAGCACAAATTGCTGGGAACAAAGGTATCTGATATTCAATGGCTCTAGGTGCAAAGGAGGTTAGTCCTAGACTCAGGGACTTTATGAAGTTAGTGAAATACCGGTCAATAGTGTTTATGCTTTATAGACTGGGACATAGCACAGAACTGAGAACTGGATAATGGTAGTAGAATGGCATGAAGGAATTGTCTTCCTTTGGTGAAAATGCCTGAAGAGTGGAAAAGTTATGCTTAAATATATCCCAGACTGATGGTCTAGGGGATAAGGGATGTTAGAATGGAACCCAAGAACCATGCATTAAAGCACAAAAAGGATGGCATAGGGTGCTTGTCCATCTTCACTATAAGATAAATGGCTCTGTAATGTTCATAAGTCAGTAAAATATAGATCTTTAAAAAAATTCCCCTCTGGGCAAGAACTTTAAGAAAATTAGAATATAAGCAGTGCCATACTGGGTCAGACCAATGGTCAGTATCCCAGTATCCTGTTTCTAACAGTGGCAAGTAGTGCATGCATTAGAGGGGGACTGTATGCATGAGACATTGTAGTAGCTTTGGGGTTGCTGCTTATCTCAAGCAGTCTTTACACTTCACACAATTCTTTATTTCCTGGACATACTTGCCTCTCAGGAACACCAGAACATAAATCAGAACTCGGTACCACGAACTTTGCATAGCCCATGCAGGGTCCATCCATAGTCCTGAGTCATCTCTGGCCCCTGAGAAGGCACTTCCAGCTTCCTGCCACTCTCTCACACTGCAGTCTTCCTTCTCAGGTGGCTTTGACTTGGTTCCCTGATATCCCATCCTGAAGCCCTGGGTCCTCTCCCAGTCCCTGTCTCAGACTGACTCCTTCTCAGTCTTCCTCACTGAGATCTTAGCTCTCAGTTCCCATTCCCTGGCTCCTTTCCCCAGGAGCCTAACAGTGTTCTCTGGCTCCTTTCTCTCAGGAGCCTAGTTCTTCCTCTGTTTGCATCTCTAGCTGCATCCCCCTGGGAGTCTGTCTCCCAGCTCCCTTCCCTGGGAGCTTTTTAGCTTTCTGTGGCCAGCTAATTATCTTTCTCAGCCAGCCCAGTCCTCCTACATAGCATGCAATCAGTGCCTACTGATTGGGCTTGTAGCCCTTGCCAGTCTGCAGAGTGCTACAGCTGAATGTGTGCAGTGTGCTGCAGTCCTTTGTCAGCCAGCCTGCTACAGGCATATCTTGAGATATCTATCCTCGGTTATACTTTCCCTGGCATCAACCATCACTGACTTTAATATTCATCCTTGTTTCTAAAGCATCTGGCTGGCACTAGAGAAGAAAATGGTAGTTAAAAAACAAATGAAAAATAACTATTGTGAAGTGAAGTATTTGAAAATGGCAAAGTTAAATTTGTCCTCATGGCCTTGACTCTGTCACATGCATTTGAATTATGATGCTGCCTTGAACTTCAGGGTCATGTTATTTTTTTTCCTGCAACATTCTCCCCTCATTCAAGGGAAGGAATGCACAAGGACACAAAGGGTTCATAGGCATTTTTTCTTGAGTTATACCCATGGCCCTAAATTTCACTCACAATACCGTGTCTGAGTGATGTGACATCTATTCATGTCATTCACTAGAATGAACCTTGCTTTGTTCACTGTCCATCACTCATTTGGTGCATTTAGTTTTGAACCAAAGCTGAATGACCAGCAGCATGGCTTACTGGAAAGCAACCTGGAGGGGGACCTGGATTCTCTTTTTTGCTGTACTGCTGATCACTTTATAACATTGCTCACATTACTTTGCTGCTCTATTTTTCCTGCCATATTTTGTTTGTCTTGATGACTTAGACCAGTGACTTAAACCAACCTTTTTCGCAGGTGAGCCACCGATTAGCCCTGCATCCTCCCTGACCACCACTCCGAGCCCCTTACCCTGCTTGATCTACTGCTATGTTTTTTGCTTCCTTCCACATTCTCCCACCCTAATTTGAAGCTTTGTTTTCTGCTTTCTGCCCTATCTGGTACTGCGCTGCCTGTTTTCTT